AATCCTGGTGAGATAATAGGACCCTAAACTATACTAATATAACTCACATTTGAGTTTGCATAGAGTTTATATGTAAACTTTACCAAAAGTTGCTTATTTTTACAAATTTACTTATCCTACATACCACATTATCTCAATAAGCGATAATTTAATTTTAATGATATTTATACTATTGAATTCGTCTAACCGAGAGGAATCTAATAGTAGTAATTTCATCTTTCTAGCATTAATATTGACCGAGTTATACTATACAATATAATTTTAATTGCATATTTGTACTATATTTGTGAGTTCTATTAATATAGTTCGGGTCCTGAGATAATGTCCTATAACAGGTTTCTAGCTCTCTGCTAAATGCTTTGAGTTTTTATCCTTAAGTTTATTTTTGGTTATTTCATCTTTCAATTCTTTGCATAACTCTTTATTAGTATCTAAGATTTCGATATAAACTGGCTTCATGACATTGATTCCTATTATACAAATAGATTCAGGTGAAGCTAAAAAACTTGACGTATTTATTGCTTTGCAAAAATTTACTATCAGCCTATTGGATATTAAAGAAATGTTAAAAAATTGCATAAGCTTCTCAAAAAGTTAGGTTTGATTTTACCTTAAATGATGTGTATGATTGGCTCGAAAGACAGGCTGTATATTAGATTGTCTTAGATATATTCCTCGAGCAAGTTTTTGTTCTATTACTACTTCCAATAAAGTTCACCAGATAGATATTCTCTACATGTCTTATGATAAAGTAGGTCAGATTACTTATCTTTTTTGTCTTACTGTGATAGATGTAGCTTCAAGATATAGAGTGTCTATCCCTATTGATGCATATATTGTTAAAGATAGACAGAAAATCTTAACTTCAGCTACTATTGCTAAAGCTCTTGAAAAAATCTATAATGACTCTGAGTATCTTCTGATCTGACCAGAAACATTTTTAACAGATAGGGAACCAGAGTTTAGAAGCGAATATAAGAAATTAATGAGAGAATATATTGTAAAAATTCAGAAGACTAAATCTAAACCTACTATGGGTATTATTAAAAGATCTAACTGAACTTTGATTGAGAGATTATTTCCTTTTCAGGACGTATCTGATCTACTTTACACTTAAATAAGGTATCCTAGGTTTAGGTAAAAAATTTGTCAATAGTTGTTGAATATATTAATAATTATATCACATATCAGCTTGGTATTTTTCCTATTGATGTAATAGAGAAAAAAGAGGTTTTGGCTAAACCTTCTTATCCTCAAAATGGTTCTATAAGCTTTGATGAAGAGAAGCTTTCTGGTGATATTCTTGTTCGATATTTACGATATCCTAGTGATTTGGAGGGTAGAAGCTGTCATGCTGATGATTTGAATTGGTCATCTCATATTTATTATATCTGTCAATCTATGGTACAAAAAAATCAGCCGGTCTTATACTGGCTTGAAGAAGTCCTCTTTAGGTTAATTGATAATGATGATTATATTCTCAAACGTTCTGAAAGATCTTTTGTTCAAGAAGAATTGATGATTATTTCTTATGATACAGAATTGCCTCACCAGTGGATGCTTATAAATTAAAATAGTCTTCTGCTTCTTCATCCACTTGTTCTTCCTTAACAAAATTATCATTAACTAATTCATAGTATAAGTTGTATAGATCCATGAGATCTATGATTGCATTAAGAATTCTGGGATCTCGCTCGTAATATTTCTTATAATCATTTTTTATTTGATTATACTTGTCTTTATTGGAGAAGATATTTTGGGCTAATTTTAATACATATTCTTCAGGATCTTCTGCCTCGCAAAATTTTTTAACCTGATCTTTATAACTTAAAATGAATTTTCTGTTTTTTGGTTTTCTATAGTAGAACTCTGCTTTGACAACATTTATTAATGCCTTTTTGATATCTTGAGATGTTGGCTTAGTATTAGTTAATTGAATTTGTGTACTCATTATAAAAGAAAACTTTTATATAATACCTTTACAAAATTTTATATATCAAAATGATCAGAAAATATTCCTGTCCATATTTGCACAATACTGGCAAGTGGTAGGCCTTGCATGCGTGAAGAAGGGTGTCATAAGTATTGAAAAACTAAGGTATGTGTATTATGTAGTATATATGACAAGCCTACTGGCTTATCTTCTAAGCGGTATCCACTACATGTTAAAGGTTATTATGTTTGCTATGTGATTTTTGGTTAAATTTTTTTGGATAGACTTAGTTATGCAATTTTTTTTTGGTTAGACTTTTTGACTTTGCTATGCATTTTAGACTTTTATAATCAGGTCCAGCTCAAATCACGTCACTTTATTCCTTGATTTTTGATAGCCCCTCTAGAAGCAAGCAGAATAGCATAAAGGTTATTATTCATATTGAGTTTGCAATGTCAGGCCCAGCTCAAATCACATCACTTTTTTTCTTGATTTTGATAGTCCCTCCAGAGTAAAGATGGGAACTGTAATTAATATGTTGCAATTTTTAATGTTGCAACTTACGTTGCAATTAGTTTTAACCTATATATGTTGCAACTAATTTTAGCTTATGTTGCAATATTTTGTAAATTTGAAATCAATTGCTATACTATCTTTACTCCAGAGGCAAACAGAATAGTAAAATTTTTTTGATATAATATTTGGGATTAAAATCAGGCTAGAATGGTTATATCAAACAGTATAATTCTTAGTATCTGAAGGCTAATTCCTAGCCAAGTTTAATAACATTATCTAGATTTAAGTCAAATTGCGCTAGATGATTGAATTCAATAACTGATTTTATATAGCTAGAATTAATTCGTAGGCAGATAGGAATCTTTCTGGATAACTTTTAGATTCTTATCCTAGAACTTCCATTTTGGTCTATATCCAGTAACTTGACAAATTTTATGAATTATTATTTCATATGAATACTGTCTAAATGAATGATCAATAAACCAAATACCACATAAATTATTTAAAATTAATATTAAAATAATTAATTAAATAATAAAAAATAAAAAATTTAAAATATATTTAAATACCTTTTTTGATGTAATTTGCAAATTAAATCTTGTGTTATAAATTTAAAAGGTCTTTTATTTATATAATATAATATATCTGCAATTAGTGTAAATTTTTCAGATTTATCTGATAAAATTTTATATATTCGTTTTAAATTATCAAAATTTCTTAAACCTTTTGCATTATTTTTTTCTCTTGAAATAATTATTTTAAATTCTTAATATTTTATGATATTTATGAGAGATAATTTAATCTTTGTGCATTACTATCACAAAATTCACAAAGTAAATATAACCAAAAATAAATTTATTTAGTTAATACTTGAGATGTATCTTCATATAATATATTATGATTTAGAATTTATTGAATTTTTTCATAAGATAATGTATCAGATTTTTCTATGCATCACAAATTATTATATTAAATCTTTTGACTTTTTCATCTAAAGTTTTTAATAATATTTTATAATAAGGTATTATCAAATAAATTAGGGTATAGATCTATTAAAGAATTATTACGCAAATAGATAGATTCTGGTGAATTTTGTTATTTATTCTTATAACAAGTGCTAGAAAAACCAACTTTACAAATATCATAATTTATATTTGTAAAAGTTTGATATTCATTAAGTACTTTAACCCAATTATCTGTATTTTTTTTTGTATTTTTAATAACTCCTATAAAATTATTTCTTGTATAAGATTATCAATAATAAGTTCAAAATAATTTAAGAATTAGGATTTGTATCTTTAGAAAGTTTTGAAGCTGATAAAAAATCAGTTTGTATATTTAAATTCATTTTTTTTAAAAAAAAGGGAAGAGATTTAAAAAAGTTTAATTTAATAAAAAAATGTTATTTAAATAATATATTGATTACACTATTATGATGTCATATATAACATAGAATAATTCACTTATTTTCTATTTCATAGGAAATAAGTAATATATATTTTATAATAAATGTTTAATTATCTTAAATTTGAATTTTTGTATTATTTGTTTATTAGTAAGTACTTTTTGATAAATAGATTCTATATAGAAAGATCCAATCCTAATTAGAAAATATGTGTAAAAAAGTATAAAATTATTTTTTACAATTATTTTATGATTTAATAGTCCAATTTAAACATTCATTTTTTTTTATTTGAAAGAGAATATTAATAGTTACATTACAAATAAATATTCATTAAAATTAGATAATCAGTTCATAAGATAAAATTTTGGATTACTTAGATTAAATTAAATAGAATTCAGATTAAATCACCAAAATCTGATCTGATTTGATCTGATCTGTGCAGAATCCTACTTCTAAAAAACAAATATTAGCAAAATATACTTTTATTTCTAAAACATTTTTATCTTAATAGTTTGAATAATAAACATATATGGGTTGTAATCAAGCTTTAAGAATTTTTATCAAAATTAAGATTTTAATTTCATTTTAAATTTTATTACATTAATATTAAAAAATGTAATAAGATATTTATTTTAGTCAAAAATTTCTCAGAATCTGATTTTCTTAGATCATAACCCATATTATATCATTAGATTAAATTTCAAATTCTTTTTAGGTAATTTTGCTGATTTACATTTTCTTTATAGTATTAAAATTAAATTTAAAGAAAAATTCATCATTTTAAGATAAAAACAATTAATATTTACAAAAAAAAAAAAAAGATCATTCCTTTGTTTTTTACTTGATCAGGTGTAAAAAATTATTTTATAAAAATGATTTATTTGATAAATTGAACTTTTATATTTGATAAATACATTCAATAATCAGATATTAAAAATCATAAGTCGGCATCACTACCTGTGATGAAAAAATTCCGACGAAAATCCGGTTAAATATTTTCTTACCGAATTCTTGGGCCGGATTTAATACAGTATATATTACGGTTGTAACAAAATATTTTTTTATCATATATTAGAGGGTATCAATAAAAACTATTTATATATAGTTGTAACATTTAATGATTTCTTTTTAATTTTTGCTTAAAATTTAGTTATCATTGATCATTAAAAAGTCCTACAAAAAAGAAATGTTATGCTGCGCAATTAACCTTTTGTATACTTAAACGGCAATCGAAAAATTTCAAAAATTTAAAAAAATTACATACATTCAAGTTTTCTCTAGATGTTTTTTGTAAACTTGAAATGGCTGCTGAAATAATTTCTAACCTTCGAAGTTGCTCATTTTTTATTTGATTAAATTCATTAATCATGGCTTCACGTGCATTATTATGTTCTCGAGAAACATGATCATATCTAGATATTTTTTTTTTAAAAAAGGAAAATAAATAATTTAAAATAATGATAAATATATATATATATATTCTAATATACATCATATACGTACTGAATCTGCGTTTCTTGTCGTTTATGTTTCCATTCAATATATTTAGAATTGCTTTCAGTTCTAAATTGTTTTACCCTTTGATCATAAGTAGCTATTCTTTTTATCAATTTATCAGTTTCACTCTGATCAGTTAACTTCGATTCTTCGAATTGTTTCGAAAGTGTACTTTCACTTTCCTCCAGATTATGCAAGTATGACTCTTTATCCCCAATGTCGTCACAAAGACTTTGTAAATCTTCAGTAGCTCGAGTTATTTGTTCTTGAGTTATATAAAGTTCGTTAATGATTTGTTGTCGAATTTCTGCAAGCTTTGACTTTAAATAAATGAAATTATTAATATATAGATAAGATAATAAATAAATTAATCATAAAATTAAATCAAACCTTGATGGTATCCCTTAAATCCAATGAAAGAATTTCATCAATTCGACCTGCATTGACATCAACCGATAGTTCATAATTATCGTCTTTTGTGTATTTAGCAATACGATAAAGGTTTGTGTTATAGTATTGAATTAAATTTTCGACTTCGGCAACTTCCTTTTCAAATTCTAATCCTTTCTCCCATTTTAATTTATTTCTCTCTTTCATTTTCGCAGCGATAGAGTTACGAGTATTGGCTATCTGTTCACTCTCCTTATGCATCCTTTCAACATCATCAGGAGATATTGATTGGTTATTAACTTGTATCTGTATTGTTTCCTTTTCACTTTCGGTTTCAGTTAGCTGCTTCTCGGTGTCTTTATGTTGTTCTTCCAATTTTCTAATCGCATCATTTAGTTTTTTTATCTTATCCTCCAAATGCTTTGTATAATTATTGAATTTGTCCGCATCTGATCGCAATGTTTGATTTTCGTTTCTTACTTCCATTAAAGGATCCTAATAATAAGAAAACGATTCATAAATTTGTCATTATTCATTAATTTTATTTCCTCATTACCTTCGTTTCATTCATTCGACCTAATTCACCTTCTAACTCATCTACATTTTTTTGAAGCTCTTCACTATGTTTGATGAGATTTTCACACAAATAATCAAAATTAACTGCCAATTCTTCCTCCTGCTCGGGAAATTCATCAACTCCATTAAGAAATAATTCATACGCACTCGAAAGGTAACTGAAAAATGCACTTTCTAAAGTCATCTCATGCTGTTCAATTTCTATCTCTTCGATTCTATCCCACATCTATTAATAATTAATTAATTAATTAATTCACGTATAATAACGAGATTACCGAGATATATAAGTTCAAAACTTACAGAAATAATTTCTACCAACCACCTTAGCATCCCTAAAATATTATTTGTTAACAAATTTTATAAAATTTAATTTATGGGGGCGTTGCCAGTAAAATCACATTACGGATCATATGATTTACTATATCTCGTGACTTGATTTTACTGGCAAACGTTCCCATATTATTTAAATCATAAATTAACATACCAAGAAGTAATGGCCAAGTTTGTTGATTTCCAACAGCTTGCAAAGAAGATTTTGATATATCATGAACGAAAGGATATCTTATAGTTTTCAAGGCTCCTGCAATATCTTCTAATCTAACAATATCTTTAATGGGTTCCAGATCCTTATATAAAAATTTGAAAATATTAAGAAAATCTTTTGCCGTCGGATTAATCAAGTTCCTTTGTTCTATTGGAGACTGATAATTTGATTGTCGAAGATGATTGATAATCAAATTTATCGATTGACTTTGATATGTTTTATCACGTAAAGGACGGGGATCTTTTTGCCGAACAACATCATTTCTTTCTTGTGAAACAATGTTAATAGAATTTGGTCGATTTGCTAAACTTGTCATTCGTCCAGGACGTCCAAATCCCATAGAACCAACGTTTTCTGGTTTAGCTTTTGAAGAACGTCGAGAAACTGACTGGCCAACTCTTGCAGAAAGTCGTGATGATCGTTGACGCATCACAGACATTGGTTGACGTAAGCCGGAGACAAGACCCATATTAGAGTTTAAGTTCTCGGAATTTGCCAATGTAGTACGGCGTTGTGATATAGCTTGTTGTTGCGTGTATTGATCCATTGTCAAAAAACAATCAAAGCTATAAATCGCGAAGAAAATATATTATCAATATGCGTTTTCCGAAGTATTCACGTCATTTACAAATTAGTTTCTAGTAATTCTTACAGAATAAAAATTTTTATAGGATGGCACGTCTTTTTTTACTTGTCAAGAAAAAGTTTTCGCGACGTTATAAATTAACTTTGCAGATCAACCGCGTTTTTGTATTGGGACGATTCCTAATTTGGTAATCATATGGTGATTCTAATTGTTTTAACAACAAATTTCTGGTAATAGAATATCTAATAATATAAATAAAAGGTATTTATTTTTATTTTTTAAATGTTTGTTAGAATTTATAGATTTTTTTTTTAATAAAAATCAAACCTTTTAACAATTTAAAGAACACATTTAAATCCTAACTTGTTTATATAAATTTTTGAATTCATTATGTTGCTTTTAATAAATTAGAAAAAATGATAGTATTTTCATTTAGGCAATTTTAAAATTAAGCAATATTGCAGATTCCAAAAATAGATCGGAATACCATCATTAATTATTTGTTATAAAAAAAAATAATGGGAATATCTTTTTTTTATTTCAAATCGAAACAAATTACGATTCGTCAAAAGACGAAATTTTCCATCGTTAAATTTAAAGTAAAAAGGTAAAATTTCAAATATTAATGAAAACGTTAAAGATAGATATATACGTTTTTGTATCGTGAACGATTTTACCATCAAAAACTTTTTATTTTCTATTGGAGATTATTAATATTGAAATTTTTATGTTAATAACACAAGTCACTTTTCAATCAATCATCATCTTCTTCGACTTCACTATCAGACCAACTTTTTTCACAAGTTCCTAATGGAAGTTGATCTGGCATTCTTTTAAAAGCATACTTGAAAACTCTAAAACCTGCCAAACCAATTTCTTCCCACCATTTCTCAACGGTATATAATCCATCATATCGATATCCCTCTACGGGAGAATATTCGTTATTCAAATTATATCCTCTATTATGTAAACCCATGTTGTTAATATTAGAAATCGAATAACAAAATATTGCATGACAAGCTTTGGAGGGAATGTAAATTCAAAGCATTACCTAATTACTCGTACGGGTTTACTAGTTTCACATGAAATCTTTAAGGCCTTATTACCAGCAGCCAAAACTTGATCCCTAGTCTAATGAAAATAAATATTAATATTTAGAGGCTGTAAGTGAAAATTAATGAATTACTAACCTGGGGCGCGGTCCTCAAATTTTTTGGTTTCTGTTTCGTTCCTTTCAAATCTCGTCCCCCAGAACCAGTATATGTGAATGCTTCTCCTGTATGCCATTTAATGTAATAATGAATTAATTGTTTCATACAATGAAATGATGCTGTTTAGATGTAAAAATTAATTACCCCAATCGACATCATCTTCATATCCCTAATAAAAAAAAAATTAAATGAGAGAAATAATCATATATATGTATGAGAAAGTCAGTAATAGATCAAACACATACTCCTGACAAAGCAACGCTATACGCTCCTTCATCTTCAACGAACGCGATTCCTGCAACAGTTGGTCTAATTCATATACCGAAATTTTTTTTTTTAAAAAAAAAATTTAATTTAAAAATATACATGAATAAGTATCTAAAAAACAATTTGATCCTTACGCATGAACACCGTGATGACTACATTCCATGCGAGTTTGCCACCAAGCTCCTACTTTTACATCAGGAATTTCACCAAACTGCTTTGGATCAGGACGATTTTTTCTCCATTCAGATGCCTTTTTGTATCTATCAGTTTCGTCAAATGTTACTTCCTTAAAAACCTTAACAGGCTATCGTTGCAATATTTTTCGTTATTCTATAAAATATTCTTTAAAAGACAAAGGAATTTAAATGAATTTAAACATATCTTTTACCAATTTAGCTAAACGGGATGATCTTCTTATGCCATCATCACGTGAAAGCACATCATCGTTTTTGTGTCTTAATCTCTCTTTAATACGCTTATTAGGTTTATTAGCATCTTCGTTCTCAATAACATTTTTATTTTTACGTTTATTTTTACTAGTTTTACCAGCCTTTTTCTTGTTAGTTGCTGCAGCTGGCAAAATAGGTGGTGGCCTTTCTAGACCTAATTCACGTAAAATTCGTTTATTTGCCTCTATATTTTCTAAACGTTTCTTTTCATAATCGCTCAACATGTTTTTTATTTTGTCTAAAGTTTTTTTTCTGAAAAGGAGAGAATATTTGAAAACAGAGATGGTATGAAACGGAGATCGGAGATCGATGATTGAAAAAGCGTTTATATATCAGATATTGAAACAACACGTAAATTTCTAAATCGGTTATAAAGTAGATTGCCATATTTCCTAAAAGAGTAGTTTACTTCGTGAATTCTTTCTCGATTGAAAAAAGTTATTCAAAAGGAATAAGCCAAAACATTTTATATTCTTGAGAATAATCATTAAATTCTTTTATCATCCAATTATTATCAATCTAAAAAGAATTTTTGTGGATTAATTATAAATTTTTCTTTCCTAAAAAAAAATAAAAAAATAAAAATCATTACCCAAATAACTTTCATTTTACCAAATTTATTGGCAATATCAAAAAAAGCCGTTTCACCTAATCCACGATCTTTATAAATTCCTAATACCAAAGTTCTTCGGTTTTCTTTCCTTTCTTCTATTGTGTCACAAGGAAGATGACTAAAATATTTTATAGTTTTAATTAATGATTTGTGTAAATGAAATAAGTAAATAATTTCTGATGCAAGAATAATATCAAAAGGAAGCATATTCGATTTGTGTAGCGAGTTTGAAGAGTCTTGAGGCAATTCTTCCCTAAAATAAATAAATAAATAAATAAAACATTAAGTTCTGAATATATATAAATTGTAACGTAAATAATCACATACCAATTTAATGGAAAAACATTAATATCTTCACTACGCAATCCAACATCCAATTTATTTTTCTTTTTTAGATTTGATTCCGAATTAAATCGTTCTTGTTGTTTTAATATTAATTCGACATTTGATTTAATATTCAATTTCGTATGTTTAATTTCTTCTCCAGGTAAATCAGTACACACAACAAATCCACCTATGATTTTAAAGTTAATTAATTTACAAAACAAGATCTTTTGGTTTTTGAGTTTGAATTACCTAAAATCCATGCTGATAATCCAACCAGACCGCAACCTGATCCTAATTCCAAAAATCGTATCTCGCTAAATGGTGCGGCGTTTGAAATATTTTCACGAAATGTTGCATCATTTTTAAGAATATTTACAATGTATTTGCTTAATATATATGCCTTTATTTTTTAAATAAAAAAAGAAAATTAACTTGTCTCGAAACAATTGTGAAATGAATATAAATGCTGTATGTGAATGACTTACGCCATCCCATACTAAATTCCCAGTATTTTGTGTAATGTCGACTATATTATTTAATTTTTGATTAATTCGAACTAAAAATAATTTTGAATTACGTTAATAATTATTATTATTATATATATATGAACATATCAATAATATATTACGTGTATATCCATTTAACAAAAAGATTCGTTCGGGATCAAGTTTATAATTTGCATAAGGATTATCATATTTCCAAAGTACAAGTTCATTGCTCGTAGAGGAAGTAGGATCATTTTCTTTATGAGAAGGATCGGACATTTTTTATGGCAATAGATATTGATTGCATTCTTTTATGTAACATTTATGCCTGATCATCCAGCCAATAATATTAAAAATATCTTAATTAATAACTAATGTTTACGATTATGAATTATTTCTCATTTTTGAAAAAAAAATAATAAACAAATGAAATAAATCAAGGAAAAAAAGTCAATATCGATATTGTGACAAGAAAAATGTGAATAAAGATAAAATTTTTAAGATTTTCCAATTATAAGATCAATTAGTTTCCGCCGTATTAAATACAATATCCTTATTCACAAAAATCAAAATTTTGAATAATACCCGTGGATTATTTAATTAACCAATCAAATTTTAACTATAATTCTGACCAATATTTATAAGAAATTAATACGGAAAATATGTCAAAATAATTTACGCATCGAGCGTTTATTAAATCTTTAACAATCCCATACAATATTATCTTCTCTAATATTAAATTCTTGTAATAATCTATTTCATCATTAGATTGATTTGTTTTTTCATGAAGTAATAACCCAATTTACAACAGTTTCATAAGAAGGTCTTTTGATTCTACTAGTAGGGATGGGGCGGTTCTTCAATGAACCGGTTGAGTTCAGTTCTAGAACGCGGTTCATTCGGTTCTAATTTTGATTTTGGAACTTTTAAAGAACCGGTCCATCAAATGAACCGGTTATAGAACCGAACTTCTTGGAACTGACTCTAGAACATGTGACTTTATAATCATAATTTCGGAACCGATTCAGGCTGATTTCGAAATAGATATTGAACAACAAAAGTGTTACATAATTGATAAATTAAGTTAGTTAGATGTGTTCCATGGCATAAAAAAAATTAACAATAAATTTTTTTTTTGTTTTTTTTTAGAAAAGATTTTAATAATGTTTCCTCCATTGAGGAATTTACAATAAAATTTGTAATAGCACATTAACTCAAAGCCATAAAGCAAAAATTCCCAAGTATCTGATCAAAGTTTGTATCCAATCACCAAAGTTTTTTGATTATCTATGATGATCTTAAAAAAAAAAGTGCTAAATGAAAAAAAGTTCTAATTTTCTCAAATTTTATAATGGATATTTTGGAAGCTGAAGATGTCTCTAAGAATGATATTATGAATGATAACATAGATGATATTAGTCCTAATAATCCTAATGAACCCATTAGACCAGCCTCTTCTAGTAATAATAAAAAAAGTTATGTGTGATAACATTTCAAAAAAACCCTCCTCATTTACAAGATATAATGTTTATAAAATATGCTTTTCCAAGTTTAAGAATACCACAAGCATACTTTACAGAAACCCTTAAAATTCTAACGATATCGATGTCGATTCGATATCATAACGATATCACATCGATATGGAATCGATATCGATATTCATATCTTAACGATATCGATTCGATATCATTAAGATATTATCGATTCGATGTCAATACGATATGGTTACGATATGGTTAACAATATCGAATCGAGGTCGATGCGATATCGAATTAATAATGTCGTGACAATAACAATTCGATATCGAAACATTATCGTAAAGATATGAATTCGATGTAGAATCCTTATTGTTACGATATAACAAATGATATGGATTCGATGTAGAATCCATACCTTTACGATAATGATTTGATATCGAAACATTATTGTAAAGGTATAGATTCGATATAGAATCCTTATTGTTACGATATAACAAATGATATGGATTCGATGTAGAATCCATACCTTTACGATAACAATTCAATATCGTATCGTTATCATTACAATATGGATTCAATGTAGAATCCATATTATTTGTTATATCATAACAATAAGGATTCTATATCGAATCTATACCTTTACGATAATGTTTTGATATTGAATCGTTATTGTCATGACATTATTGATTCGATATCGCATCGACCTCGATTCGATATCGTTAACCATATCGTAACTATATCGTAACCATATCGTATTGACATCGATTCGATAATATCGTAACGATATCGATTTGATATCGTTAAGATATGAATATCAATATCGATTCCATATTGATATGATATCGTTATGATATCAAATCAACATAAATATCGTAACGATATCGATTCGATATCGTTAGAATTTTAAGGGTTTCTGTAAAGTTTTTCTTTGAAATCTATATTATCAATAACACACATATTCCAAATATTTAATCCTTTTAAAAGTCGAGTTGTTTCTTTGTTGCATTCATTCTTTTGGTTTCCAAATTATATTCTTGACGTTTTGTATGAGATATTGCATTAACTGATAAGAGAACTTTATAAAAAGAAGATATTAAATGGCATTTTTGACATAAACTTGAAAGTATTCTAGTAAGCCAAATCTTTGTTTTTTTAAATGCAAGTGATACAATTATTAATACTATAAATATAACTGTTTTTTGAACTTTTTTAATATTTAAATTTTTAGGATTATAATTTTTTTGACGTTGTTGTTGTCTTTCATTTGCTTGATTATATAATCCTTCAAGAAGTGTTTGGATCATACCTTCAAAAAATTGAATTAATTGAAAAGGAAGTGCTTCATAAAATTCAAGTAAAAATTTTGGTTCTTCTAAATGTAATTTTTGAGATTCAATTTGTTTTCTATTTTTAATAAAAGATTTGCCATTTGTTTACCAAGATTATAGCATTTTTCAGAACTCCAATCCACTTCTTCATTATTTAAATTTATTTGATAAAATTTAAAAATGGTTTGAATTGTAAAAAAACTTGGAATTGTTTTTTTAAAATCTGCAATGTTAGAGCAATTAAAGATAATGCCTTACTTTTTAAATTTATATCATTTGAATTTGCAATTTTTGTTATCCAAATTGAAAATAAATGTAAGGAATTTGAAATATCCTGATTGTGTTTCCTTTAATAATACAATTAATAGACTTGTGACCTGTTCCTGAACGTATATGAAGATGACTGCCATATTTTTCATAACATTTACAACATATATAGCGAAAATGATTAGATGAATAAGATTGAGTTATTATTGGATTGAATACTTGAATAGCGGGACAAATTTTTTGACCAACACATACTACTTGAAGATTTTTTCCAATTAGAGACCATGAATGTTCAGAGCAAGTTTTTTCTCGACTAAAAATATAATAATTTTTTCCACAATAAAGACATTGTTTATAATTAATTAAACTTTGAGAAATATCTTTGTTTTTTTTAATCCTTTTGGAATGTAACTTATTCTGATCAAACATAAATGATTGTAACATACACTAAGATTTTCGAGTTGCTTTTTTGCTTGTATTACTGTATCAGTATCTAATTCTCATGTCCTAACTAGTTGCCATAATCTATATAACTTATTTGTTGAACCACACTTTTTAATATTACTATCAATATGATCAATAATTGCACAAGGAATTAAAATACTATTATCATTAATTTGAGATATTTCCTTTTCAGTTTCATGTTCAATATTTTTAGTTTCTATTGATCTTACTAAAGAAACTGTTTCAGATTCTATATTTTCTTCATTACTTCTACTATTCTTACTGGTATTTAATTGTCTTTCTAGTTCAATAGCAATTTTAACTGGCATATGAGTAAAATTATCATCTACTTTTGGAATATTATTAAAAAAATCATTAATATTCATTTTAATAAATTGAATACGAAATCAAAATACTTAAAATTCAAGTTACCTTTATATATTAACTTTCTTTTCGATTTGAAATAGGTTTCAAAATCAGATAATAACAAAAAATTTTTTTTTGTGCACTATCATATATATCGATTTTTCACACCCTTTTACACTCTTTATATTTAAAACATATATTCAGAATAAAATTATTATACAAGTATTGATAATTCTGAATTAACAACTTAAATTTAAATGAAATAAAGAAAATGCATTCCCAACTTCTATTATGTTTGTTTTTTTTGAAAAAAATATTAATTTTATATAAAAATTCACGTAAAATAATTTTAAATAGTATTTTTATTAGTTAATAGTTTATATAATAGACAATTATTTTGACGAGATCCTTTTAAACTAACTTGGAATATTTAATTTTTAAAGTTCATAAAAATGTTTCTGAAAACTCAATTAACATTTTAAATGAAATATGAGTTCAAAATGTGTAAAAAAATTACACAGTTGTCATATGAGATAAAGCTAAAAAAGTATAAAAATTCATGAAATTTATCTGATAAAATGATCAACACTATATATAACTAAATTTGGTATCAAAATTGTCAGACATTTCACATGATTGATATATATCAGTTATTATATGAAGCAAAAAAAACTCTTTCTTACGACATTCCAGTTTCTTAAAAAAGATCGACAAAGAAAATAAAAATGCCAGTTACTAGAGCTACTTCTGCTAACAAACAACACAACAAACACAACAAACTAATAAAAGACTAAACTACAACAACGCTGAAGCTTCTGGTTCTAAAAATATAAATACAACTGAAAATACTTCTCTCAAAAAACAAAAAACTAATACTCTCTCAAACGAACAAACTAATAACCTCACTATGCAAAATATCATCTTCAGATACTGTTATTCTGACCCCTATCAAAAACTCACAAACTTTAGAAGATACTGAAACTTACGCACGAACTGAAATGGAAGTTGACCCAACCGCCATTCCACCTAATCAACAAACTTCAATTTCACCAGTACTTACAACCAACGATTCTATGCATGCCAAAAACAATAATGACTACATTTTCAAAGATACAGGATTTGATTACGAACTTCCTGATGACGAAAACGATAAAACTAAACAATCTTGGTCTGACAAAGTCTCTGCAAAAGAGTCACGTAAACAAAAAAATAAAAGTGCTACCTATAATATTATCACTGCTCCAACGCGTTTTTACGCGACAGATAACGTGTCCGATATAAAAGGCAAATCTATTGCTGAAAAACGTACCAACATCAACTCCTTATTCATCCGCTATAACGGCTATCAAGGTTCCAACTATATTTCCAAAATGAGAAAATTCTTTGTCTACTTTAGTATAATGGATGAACTCCTGCATGCAATCAAAGATACTCAAGAAACACAACATAATCTGATCTTCACTGTTGTGGACCCAACACAAAAGCAAATCAAACAAGATGCTGAAAAAGGAAGGACCCTGAAGATCTCTGACATCCCTTTGTTTGTTAAATCTGATGTGTTACGAAATTACTTTGCCAAATATGGCATGATCACCCGATTTTTTATGATCATCTGTGGTCTGTGGCAAATTGCCTTCATTGTCTTTGAAAAAGCCGAAACCATCAAACCTTTCTACGATGATCACTGGTCTATTCAATTTTTAGAAAATGCTCTACATGTTCAACCAACTGATTTAAACCCTATGCAAATCTCACTGCGTCAACAATTTGAATTAAAACTAACAGGACTCCCTCTCAATACTAATTAACAGCAACTACAAGACTTCTTAGCACACATCAAAGCTAAATCTTGTTTATCCTTAGGGATCAACAATATCGCCTCCGACCTTACGCTTTCATTAATTTTGCTTCTCTTGACGACCTAGATGCTGCGGCGGCGCGATCACAAAAATTTAAAGGAAGAACACTTTTTTGGATGAACCCTTCTGCTAAACATTGTCGAAGCTGTAGTGCTCCCAGACACAAATTCAAAGTTTGCTCAAATAGAAAACCTGCCAACCCATATAAACCATTATACGATCGTTTTAAACCTGAACCATATAGACCACTTCGCACTTTTAACAAAACCAATCCAAACAATCCATCATTTTCAAATATAGTCAGTAACCAGAAATAACCCATTATTAAGGACCCCCCTAAGAAGCCACAGAATGTAGTTAACGTGCTCAAAATAGTACAAGAGAAACTTGACTCTTTTGATAATAGACTCCTTGCAATCGAGGATAAAATTAAGGCTATCAAATCTGACCTAATGACCCAATCTGACGACTTAAACGAAATCGGTTTCCGTCTAAATCGACTTGAATTCATGCATAACATTGAATATAATCCAAACCACATTGCTGATCCAAACTATGAATTCTCTTCGCATGACGATTATTTAATGCCTATCGATGAATAAACCTCTGAATAACAAATTTCACAAATGATAATCACTAATCAGAATCAAAATGCTTCCTCACCATCTTAAACTGAAAACTTACAATGTATTGGTCTCATAGAATCATCCATCAATGATATCAAAAACGAAATGCGCAATCTAATATCTGTCATCACTCCCATTTTTCAAATGTCAACGAATTCTATTAAATGATAGTACAAAATATTATTAACACAAATGATGTCCAAAAGCATCAATTTAATAAGAATAGATTTACAAACGATAATTTTCAAACGCAATATAATGACCCTAAATTTTTCTCCTTCGCTACACATAATGTTAGAAGCTGTACTTTAGACATCAAATTAACACAAATCGAACAATTTTCACCAATTACAACATAGATATTTTAGGTCTCTCTGAAACTCATTTTAACAAATCGCAAGCTTTTTATTATTCACGTAATCTTCAATCAAAACCGTACCGCTTCCTATTTTCATTGAATAATCCTTCACAAAACTGCTAAGGCGTTGGCTTTATTATTAGAAATTATTTATACGACCATATCTTCTTTTACGATTTTCTCTTTGACAGACTAGCATACATTGACCTTCAGTTCAAAAATAAAACTAAACTTAGAATTTTTCAAATTTATCTTCTTACAAATCATAGTGATAAAACACAAATCACCCTTAGAAAACAAATAGAAGTCAAATTAACAGAACTCATCCTAGATGTACAAAGAAAATCTTTTCATATAGTCATAATGGGTGATTTTAACGTAAATATCTATAATACACCTAGTAATATGACTAAACAATATAAAGAAAAACGTCTCTTTATCGATAAACTTTTCAATCTCAATTTTATTTTAGCAAACACCTTAAACCATACTTCCAATTCCTCATACCCTCACACATACGTTAACCCTGTATCTTACAACATGTCACATTTGAATTACATTTTCACTTCCTCTGCTCTTACATATGATTTGACTGCATATAGGATTTTAGATAATACTAACACCATTTACGAATCTGATCATTTGCCAATTTTGATCTCAATTTATAAAAAGAATTTATTTCACAACTTATCCAGCGCCTACCATAAATAACATAAAACTATAAGAATAACATTCAATTACGACAAAACAGCGAACTTACATTGGGATCTTTTTTCAGACAAATTGGATAAATTTATTAAAGATTCCTCGATGTATAGCGACTGTGAATCTATAGATATTAGTTCTAATATGAATACATTAAACAAGGCTTGGGATTTCTTTGCTCATGCTCTTCTCATTGCAGCCAACAAACACATACCTAAATCAATTGACCATAAGCCTTTATACACCCATGATAACTCTAAAATGCACTGGCAGTCAAAATTCTTATATAAATTATTTTATAAATGCAAATCAATTATCGATAATTCAATCAATCCACCTGTACATCTACCTTCGTCACATATTATCGCTGATTTACATTCAAAAACTCTCAAAATCTCAAATGAACATCTGATTTCGACTGCTCATTTGGATTCATTGTTTTATCAAAATAATATTAATGCCTATCTGGTAGAACTTAAACATTCAATTATCAAACCATTTAAAAGCAAGTTAAAAATATTCTCAAAAAATGAGAATAACAAAAGAATCAAAGAATTTGTACTTCAGTGAGCTACCAACTATACAGACGCTTCAGCAAAGATGATTGATTCGTGTCTTGAAAGAACTAGAAAAATGATTGTTCTCGATCGAATTCTCATTAATACAAACACAAATGATCCTTATTTGGAATTAGATTCGGATAAAATCAAATCTGCCACTATGTATCATTTTAAACATGTGGCTGGATCCTCCAATCTTCACCTAGATGATTTAATCACTTCTGATCATTCTGCAGCATGGAAATTTTGGAAAGATAAATACAAACTATTAGAATCTATTGATGATAATTTATACAATGCCATTTTGAATCCTCTGACATATAACGAATGGTTACTGATCCTAAAACATCTTCCAAATGGCAAAGCGCCTGGTCCATCTAATATTTCTAACGAATTTCTATAGCATTTAGGTCTGAGAGCTAACAAATTTCTCTTCAAAATCATTTGTGCTTGTTTCTTATCAGGTTTAACACCTGCACAATAGAACCTAGCCCATGTTTTTCCAATCCCAAAGCCCAAACCTTGGAACTGTGACTTAAATAACATCAGACCCATTACTTTATTAGAAACAGCTAGAAAAGCTTTTACGAAAATTCTTAATAACCGTATTCAACAAGTTTTACTACAATCAAACGCTCTTTCTTGATTAAATTTTGCCGGCCTTCTGCACTAATCGACAAATGAACCTTTGAATATCGTTAACAACTTACTTGAATACCATCGGTTGAGAAAGAAAAGTGATGCAACATACGACCAAGAATTATACATCCTTTTCAAAGACATATCCAAAGCTTATGACAGGGTCAACATTTTCATGCTCAAAAACGCAATGGTCAGACTAAAATTTCTGATAAAATTAATTAATTTGATAGCAG